AAAAAAAAAAAAAAAAAAAAAAAAAAAAAAAAAAAAAAAAAAAAAAAAAAAAAAACAAGAACCTTTTCATTTGAGGGCTCTGATCTCACCTACACTTTTTATGCAAAACCATCGTAGAAGAAAAGTAATGCCTTTATCTAGGATGAGGTTTGTTATATATTAGGAAGCTTTTTATGCCTTGCTTGTTCTGTTACATTTGTTAGATTCTGCTGCTGTAGTTTTTGGGATGATGGGCGTCTCGGGTGCGGGTGCATTACTCGGTTTAGTGACTTCATAACTTTCTGATTTCGAGTAGTTTGTAATTGTGATGGGGTAAGAAGACTTGGGAGAATGAGGCTCAAATATGTTTCTATTAGGTTCTTGTTTTAAAAACTAGGAAAAGTTGTATTTCTTGTCGTGTTACAATTCTACTGTGCTCCAATTATAATAGTTTTGTGCTTATTTTTAAATCCTATTAATGTTCCAATTATATATATTTTGTTGGGACGGTGGTATATTTTCAGTTTCAGAAGCAATGAATGAGATCCTTTTTATGGATCTTTCATTGTTGTCTAATTGTCTGTTCTCCCCCCCTTTTTCCTGTTTCCTTTTTGTTTCCTTTTATCTTTATGCTATTTTGTGTTAAAGTTGCCAAATTTGCGGGATCAGGGACATTCAAACTTACCTTTTGGTCGAAATCACAATTTAGATAAAAATGTCCAAAATGTTCAATCTTCTCGAACAAAAGCGTTGGGCTATGATTACATGTTGCATTAGGATGAAATAAGCCATATAATGTTAATGTTACGGTTTTGTGAGGAATTCTATTTTTTTGGTCTCAGCTTCCTTATAATTGACTGTATGGAGCTGCAAAGAAAGCATAAATACTCTTTTTATTTCATTTTTCAAGTTTGATGTGACTTATTTTATCTTATGGTAATTTGAACTTATCGTCTTCGTATGAGATGTTTTGGTTCATATCATTCTTCCTTTCTTCTAGAGGATTGAACTCAACACCGAGGTAAGAATTTGAATATTTTAGGCTCTTAGTTGAGAATATAAACCTTAACTAATTGTGCAATATTTAAGTGAAAGACTCCAAATCGATGTGTTTGACCTATGTCTTTTTTTATCGACTCTTATACGAAATGTCTTGAAATAATATTCGGAGTGGAGGATTCAATTAACTGAGAGCCAGAAGCTAAAATTTCACCTCGGTCATCAATAGGTTTAGCTAGAGTGTTTATAACACGACCTAAATAAGCCTCCCTTACCACACCAACATTATTTGATTATAAATTTAGGGTTATGTCTATAGCACCGTCTTTTTATTACTTGGAAAGAATTACTTGGAAAGAAGCAACTTTTTAGATTATGTAAGAAAAGGAAAAGCTTTTCAATTCATATTTCTTTATTTTTATTAAAAAAAGAAAAGAAAAGGAAAGGAAATAATAATAATAAAATAAAATAAAAGACAAAAAAGCTAAAGCTAAAGATGGAAGAAACTTACATAAGTGTTCATTGGATATTCTTGTAATTCCACACTTTATATTAACACTTTTGGATAGAAAAAAGAACTCTTTCTTTAATTTATTTTTAAAAAAATAGTTTTAGAATAATTTTACATACATCCTCATACTTTATCATAATTAAATTTTAACTCTATACTTTCAAAAGTTTTCGTTTTACGTAAATGAAACTCAATGTTATATGTTTTCTTTATAAATATTTAATATATACCCTATAACGTGACATTTTATTAATTAAAATAGGGTGTAAAGTGAGAAAAAAAAAAGCTATTTACTAAATAGAAAATGAAAATAGGAAGGTTAAAAATATAATTTAGTTTATTTTTTTAATTTAACTGCCGGAAAAATAAATGATTATTCATCAATATTTTATCTACTAAATTATATTCATAAATAATTTTACTTAAAATTAAGAAATATAGTAATATCCAGATGAAAAAGATCGGAGTATCCTAATAAATAAAAAGAGGGGTATTTTAGTCATTTTTACCCGGACAAAAATGGACCATTGTGAATTAAATGGCAAATTCAGTTTCAGCCTCCTTTTCTTTGTCACATGGCCTTCACACCCTTCAATTTCAATACTCCTTTTCAAACCCTCAATTATTTATTTATTTATTAATTAATTTTTGTCTCACCCATGAAAAATAAATATTTGAGAATTTAATTTTTCTAAAATTTAATTTTAAAAAAATTTCAAAATTAAATTTATAATTTTACTAGATAGAGATTGGATACACACCAATCTCAAATGATTAGTGATTGGCAATCAAAACCTACCACTAGAATTGGGTACTAGTGACCAACAATCAGTTCGACGAGACTGGATCAATGGTCAGACGCTAGGACCAGTTATTGAGATCGTGATCAAGGATTACTATTCAATAGTAACCACCGACCAATGAACTACTACTAACCACCACCCACCACTGACGATCGAGGTCGAAGGCCGATACAATTGATCACTTTGACGATGTTTAGTGGTTGTTAGCCCAAGTCCTAATAGCCAATAACCGGTTGTTAGTCACTAGAATGATAGCTAGTTTCTGATCTTAGCTACTAGCCACCAATCACCGGTCTCGATTGCTAGTCTTCGTTCTCCTCCAAGTTGTTTATCTCGATAGCTAGTTCGACTTCCATTTAAAAACCCTTTTTTTATTATAAAAAAAAAACATTTATGAATAACACTATATTTTCTAGACAACCCAACATGCTATTAGTATCATCCATAGAAAATGCATAGCTACCTACTCCATGTTGACACTCTCCAATCTCAATGAGGAAATATCTGAATAATATAATATAATATAATATAATTAATTAATATCATAGTTTATAATTGACTTAGGTTGAATGGTTGGAATCCAATTTAATTTATAAGGTCACGGGTTATTGTATTTTTCTATACCATATTATAAAAATATATATTGGACCGTATATGTCTTCTTAATTGTAGCTTAGTTTTGACTCATTCTTCCCCCTTCTTTTAATTATTTTGAATAATCAAATATTTTAATTATAACAATTCAAATTTATTAAATGTTGACCAAGTCTTTCCAATTTATTTATTTATTTAAAAAATCAATTTTAATTCATGTCCAGTCACATCCAAATCGTGTATGAATCACTGAGTAGTTGGAACTTAGTTTAATAAAGATTCAAAGAGATAATAATTTTCTACGTGCAGGATTAGGAAGTTGGTCATCCTTTGCGTGACAGAGAATCTTATAGGATCGGGAATTTGCAATAAAAATAAGATAATGTTGAAATGGAGATGGACCCTCGATAGATATCTATGTTAACTAGTGAGTTCATCGTTGACCTATCATTCTAAGTGGGGATTGCTCGATCTGCTATCATCGTGCAAAAAGCGAGATTTATGAAGTTTTATGTTAGCACATATGCAACTGTTATTGAAATATAATGAGTAGAGTTTCTTGGTGTTCACTGTTCACCTACGTCTCTCATAATATCTTATGTGTTGACCAAGTTTGAGCTAAATGCTATAGTTCTTGATTCGGTTAGCTAACACCTACCATTTGACATTTTGTTTAAAGTCAAAGATTTATATTCACAAAATTGAATTTTTTTTAGATAATTTTAAATATTCAAATTTAATAAAGTAAGAGCTTAAAAGATTGGGAAATAACGTTCACTTTACGCTCATTTAAAGCTATGGATGAGAAGGAAAACGATATGTCGTCTTCACATTCACTGTCGTCTCTCTCTCTCTCTCCTACTTGTCGTTTTTTGTTACTATTAAACGGTGTTGTTTTGATGTCTCTATACGCGTTTTTTTTTTTTTTTTGTAACTTTTTAAGCACCGCAGCTTTAATGTTTTAAAATTAATTTATTTCTAATTAATTCGAACCCACTCAACTATATAGAATTAATTTTGTTGACTTTGACCCTCAAATAAAAAAATAATATTTTTCTATTGAAATGAATTTTGAAATTTGGGTCTTGAAATTGATGATTGAATTAATTATAAAAAAAAAAAAGGAAAATTGGTGGTTTATTATTTATTATATTATTTACCTGGATAGCTTCCAAATGCCGCAATTATCGCTGCTTATTTATTTATTTTATATAATAAGAATAATAATAATAATAATAATAATATTATTATTATTATTAATTAAACACATTTCTGAAAATTGATTAGGTCAACGGGTTAGGTTCCAATATATTAATTATATATTAATTAAAAATCTCTGTCTCTCTCCCAAGAGTTTAATTCAGAAAGGAACTAACGGCTCAACTAACCCATTATATATGTTGCAAGACTATAGTTTTAAATAATATTCATCTTTATAAAAATAAAAATAATTTATATTCCTAAATTTTATTCGATTATATCAATTAAAATCTTAAATTTAAACAATTCGTCTGGATTGGATTTTGTACGTGTGGGAGACTTTTTTTAAATGTAGAGATTAATCTAACATTTAAAAAAATAGTGTTAAAATTAAATAAACATAGAGAATTAAAAAAAAAATTAAGAATCAAAATTAATATTTTAAAATTTGAAGGACTAAAATATATTTAAATAAAATGTGATTTATACTATT